GGTTAACGGTTAACGTTACGTTAGTACGTTCGTTACGTACGTACGTACGTACTACGTACGTACGTTACGTTACGTTACGTTACGTACTACTTCGTACACACACACACACACACACACACACACACACACACACACACACACACACACACACACACACACACACACACACACACACACACACACACACACACACACACGCACACATGCACAAGCCCATAATATATATATATTAGAAGTTGGGACCTAGTCACTCAAATTGTCTACTGTGCGTAATGCCTATAAGAGGGAATTATTTGTGCGATATATTCATGGCTGGTGAGGTGGGGTGGAATAGCAATCGCATACAGGGCAGACATGCCTTATACACAGAGGTGATCTCTCACACGCCCCCATGTCACCATAATTATATCGCATTATCCGCAAACGTGACAGCGACCGACAATAGCGCAACGAAATAATTGTCTAACTTTTTTCCTCTCTAATTCCTTCTAACTAAACTGGATCTGAAATTGTCGCCGATTGGCCTAACGGTAACCATTCCTATCGACCATATACGGAGGTGAACGTGCTAAGGCGATAGTCGCACGCACGCAGGGAGCACTGTTCCAATGCATGTAGCGTCACTTTATACGTATGTACGTGCTCATTCATCCACGCGTGTGGCCGAAACAACTTTTAAAGTCAATGACCAGCCTGTTGCAATGCTGCATCTGCTCTACATCTACATCTACTTTCACTAAACAACAGGATTTTCACAGAGCGAAGGGCTATATATGAGGTAGAGCTACTCTGAATCAAACATCTTTTCTGTAATCAATTGTAGTAGGTAATACCAGGAAACCACATTTACGAATTTGGATGCTGAACTTAACTTTGTAAGTACACTATCCTAAGGAGGATAACAAAATACGTCAATGTTTTGCGAGTGCGCATGACTCCGAATACACTGTCAGGTACATACCACAGAAGCAGACAATCACAGATATATAGAGCGCACAATTATCTCTCAATGACAACTTATAATAATTATATATACGCTTCAACATACGGATGATTGATCATCTTATCTTCATGTGATAACGGAAATATTGAGGCGTATTCTTAAAACCTCTCGTGGCATCTGTGTTTCGAACTGTTGCTGATCATGAATTTAATAATTAGCCAAAGCTCGCTCCTATGGGCGCACATACGTGCACGCACGCAGGTATGCAAGTAAACAGGTATAATTCGAGGGCACCGTTGTTAGAAACAAAAAAATTCGTCTTAACATTAGTCTTAACGATAACTTTTTCTCGCTGACCGTACCTCTCTAATAGATGAGATAAATGTTTCTCATACAGAGTGGACTCTGTATGAGAAACATTTATCTCATCTATCTCATCATAAACATCTGTATGCAAATTTACCATGTTTCTGTCATACGGTTCTATGAAAAAAAGGTAACATTATTACTAATGTTAAGACTAGTTTTGCTTTGACGACGGGTCCCAAATGATTTACTTCAGAATAACATAAATGTTTGAATGCGATCACAACAGTGCGTTGCCATGGAGTCATTGACGACACGAAGACAACAGTCGTGGGTAATTAGTAGGTCTCAGGGGAGAGATAGTGAATATAGAAATAAGTTGTGGATATAGAAATCAGTTAACCCTAACCCTAACCCTAACCCTAATCTAGCAGTAGCAGTAGCAGTAGCAGTAGCAGCAGCAGTAGCAGTAGCAGTAGCAGTAGTAGGAGCATGATGGAGAGGAGGAGGAGGATGAGTAGAGAAGGAGGAGGAGGAGAAGAATGTGTAGAGAAAAAGGAGGAGGAGGAGCAGCAACAGCAGCAACAGCAGCAGCAGCGTGTATATGCGTACAGTAGTAGTAAACAAAGTAACTATTACGTGCCCTTCTCTCGAAGTCGCAGCAATATTAGGTAATATAACGCTCGAGTATACGCGCGCGCGCGTGTGTGTGTGTGGCCTTGTTCTGTATTTGCGGTTTAAACGCAGCAACAGCGCCTAGCTCGATACTCATTCACGTCCCTCGCATCTGGGTCTCTCTTTGTGCCTACTCCACCCAGGCAGCCATTAACGCAAAACGTACCACTACCCACCTAAGAACCAGCCAGTTGATAGGCTTGCATAGTCACACATCGCCGAGTAGAGTCGTAAACTCGTAGTGAAAAAATGCGCTTAGAGCGTCGCTTAATATCGAGTCTACGGGGACCTTGCGACGTGCGGATGAGTCCATAATTGCGTGCTGAAGCTGAAATACGTGACATAGACAGCTCGCTGACAGAACCCACCAAGTACGCTCCACCGATATCGCGCCTGAAACCACAATACCACACATCCCGTATACCATGGGGAAACTTATCCGCAGGCTAAGGGGCAAACAGAAGCAGAAAGGTTGCCGCCCGGATCTTCGTGAGCCGACGCTGTACTGCCGCTATGATAAATCATTATTCGTATTTATGTCCAGCATGAATGCATATGGATAATAGTAGGGAGTGGGTGGTGGGGGCTGCGCGCACTCGCACGGGCCGCCATGACTGGGACAACAGCATGCATATTCACATCAGCTTCCGCTCTCTGGCATCGCACCTCCCGGTGAGAATGACCACAGATGACCCACTTCTTCCCCGACATTCTCAGCGTTAATGCCTTACGTCGTTTACAACCTTAATACCTTCAACCTTACGTCGTTCGTGTGAGTTCGGGGGTTTAGCTGCACCATTGCGGTAAGGATGTAAGAGGATCCGACCTGAGATGCGAGAATGATCGAGCCCAGGGATGATCGAACCAGGGCGTGCATGCGTAATGTGATACGCAACGAATGGACTAAAGCTGCGTAGAACCATAATCGAAAACAAGTTTCTTTTACAGCGTCGCCGGGAATTGCCCCTGACCCTGTAGGTATCCGCTGCTATGCACCAAGGTTACAACGCCTCGCAAAAATATCTTCACCATCACTCGGTGGCCCGATAAGGCCGATAAGGTGAATCTATCGAAAGACGAACAGGTCGCGCGTTTTGTTTTATGCTTGGGTAGAATAACAACCGTTGCAATTGGGTGAGTCGTTACGCGGGAGGTTTCATTTGGGTTCGATTGACAAAAACAAAAGAAAGCGATCTCGGAAAACGAATTGCGAAACCGTGCATTCGTGAGTGTCAAGTGAGAGGCGAAATGCGTCTGTTCCACGTCAACCTCGCAAGTAGTTTATTGGTGTTCTGCTGTTTTATTGGTTGTAATAACATCCAGTAATGGATTATACGCACTGAAATTGGAATATAAGCAGTAAAGATGTAATATAAGGGCTAAAACTGGAATATAAGCGCTAAAGCTAGAATATAAGCGTTAAAGTTGGAATATAAGGGCTAAAGCTGGAGCATAAGCGCTGATGCTAGAACATAATAGATTAGATTTACTCTCCAATGAGTCATTCGATAAGAATCTATATATTGCGCATTGATTACAAAAACCGGCCCCTAGGCAAACACGCGCTACAATCGCGGGGCGACCCTGGCCGAACGCATCCTGATTTCGACAAAACCAACAATATTGAAAGGATAGACGGACCGCGAGCACGACGCTGCTAAACTCTGCAGTGTTTGCTATGACACGACTGCAGCAGCACCGCCTGTGTTGGCACAGAACCAGCGCCGTGTGAGTTTCCTTTGCGCTGGCCACGTTGGCTACAGAGAAGAACGGTCAGGAGAAACACTTTTTTCTTTGTCGAGAAAAAAATGGCCACTTTCAAGGCTACCGTAAATTGACAGACACACGGATGTATCAAGAAACCGGACCACTGCACTCATATATATATATATATATATATATATATATAAAATTTTAACATATACAGTGTATTAGAATAAAGCCGATTATATATATAGCCGAATAAATCTATATTATACACGACGCCTTCGACGCCTTCTACGATCATTGCCTACCAACGTTTGTAACGTGTGACATCAAAGGTTCCCTACACAGGCTCTACGACTGTTTCATGTCGAAAGCACGTAGTAAGAAGTGAGAAGGTAACTTGTGGCTAACGGTATACGGAGCAGAGCAGTAACACGTGTGCAAGAGGGGTGAGAACAGCATTAGAGTAATGTAGTTGCAATAATTATAGTGTTATGTGGACGGTATCAATTTATGTTCTATCGATGTACGCGTCGCATCTATAAGCATTCCGAACCATGAGTTCGTGTAAAACTGCATTGGTCCGAGTATGTTAATGCGCTCTCGTTGCAGTTGACTTCATAATGTGTGACTTTGCTACGTATTCGCATAATAGCTGGGCTATGCTTGGGCATTTAGAGCCGACAATTGTCAATCTGTCGAAATTGTGTGAGGAGATGGAGGTAACGTGAAGGAGGAGAGTGAAGGCGGGGCGGGGGAATTGCATTGCAAATATTGTAATGTTTGAACGAAATATTTAAAAAGAACTCTATTAAACATCGCTCACAGTAAGAGTTAACAGCTTTACTGCTATTCACTGCAGATTCTGCCAAATGCGTTGATCCGCCAGGCGCGTAGCC